CCCTAGGGCCAGGCAGGCCCCCTGGGGGCAGTCGGCGCTCTGGCCTAGGACCGGCCTGGCTCCAGGCCTCGGCTACAGACCTGCCCTACTCACCAGCTGCCCGCAGGCCACCTGCAGGGAGCCCTGCCCATGGCCAACCTGGGCACGCTGCTGAGAGCCAGCCCCTCCACGGGCACCACCACCCACCAGTCCGCCGACTGCCCGACACATTGACTGACTGACTGACTGACACACTGCTTTCCTGGCCACCACCTCACCACCTCTGCAGACTAGCTCCACCCAGAGTGCGGCTCCACTCTCCGCACCGCCCCAGGAGGGCACGCACACACCAGGAAACCACTCAGCTGCCGCACCCCACCCAGAGTGCTGCTCCACTCTCCGCACCGCCCCAGGAGGGCACGCACACACCAGGCACCCACTCAGCTGCAGCACCAACTCTGCCTCACACCTACGGGGTCAGACCCACCCCCCCCAACCCTGCCTAGCACATACCACCTGCTCCGCCAGGCACCCCAGAGGCCTCACTCACCAGTACCAAGCCCTGCTCTGCTCCAGCACCCCAACTCCAGGGGACACAGCCACGCACCTCTCCTTCCTGCTGCCCCTGTCCACAGCCTCCCCTTTCCAGGCCACCGGGGCACCAGACCACTGCTCCCCTCCATCATGCACCCTCCAACTAACTAACTGCACTGAGCTCACCTCCACCAGGCACACGCGCAGCAGACACCAGGCAGCCAGGCTCCCACAGCAGCCCCCCCACTCACTCCTCATCTCGCTCTCCCTCGCTCCACACAGACAGCACCGACGCCACACTCAGAGGCAGCACAGGACTCGAGCATCACTAAGACAGACCTTTTATTGAACAAGACAAAAGCCAACATAAACTGCAGCCACTTACAGCAGGCAATGCACCGCCTGTCAGCAGACTGGGGCCATCTTCCACAAGGCAGTCCCTCGAGGCCTCACCAATGTGCCTTAGCTCCCCGGCCTCACCAGGACCAGCCTAGCAGAACGCTCCTCAAGCAGGCTGTGTCGCACTATCAATCATCTGTCTTCCTTTCCAGAGCTCCACCATCAACACCCAGGCCCCCACCTGCCCGGGTCCACACAACTGCTCAGCTCACGCAGCACACCTTCTGTCTTCATAACACCCTGCAGGAAAAAACACCGAGTGGAGACTCCGGTTAGCTGCCAGGCCCCTTCACCACAGGCACAGCCCCACAACACCCTCTGCCACAGAGCACCCGCTGGCAGGACCGCACCACCTCCACCAGCACTGCCCACAGCAGCACATGCACAGCAGTTCCCCCCCCCCCAACCCCAACAAAAAAGAAACCACCCACAGACATACACACACATTACACCCATCCATGAGCCAGGCTCACTTACTCATCAGATGGCGACTGCTCCGGCACGCGACACCGGCACCATTCATTTCTCCTAATAATCAGGACAGCAGACCCAATGAGGATGGGCAGAAAGAGGCAGAAACTTATAAGGAGCCAGTTCCTCACCACAGTCCCGCTCGGGTCGATGGCATCCCCTAGAGAAAGGGCAGACATAACCTCCTTTGGCACACAAAGCAGAGCCCTCCGGACCACAATGCCCATCCACCCGGACCAGCATGGCAGCACAGCTGCACAGCTCCAGATGTCTACACAGCCACAGGAACACGCATACCTGCAGCTACCATCTGCCTCCCTAGGCCACAGCTACTACTTCCTCAGCGACCCACGAGAGCCCCGCAGGATCCCACTCCCAAGCCTGGCACTCACAGCTCGTCTCCAGCCACCTCGGCCCTGCTCCCTCGCTACAGGACCCGGCCCGCTGACGGCCCCGAGACTGGCGCTCCTGACTCCAGCTCGCGCCTACTCCACTGCACGCGCCGCTTTCCCTTGCCTTCACCCCAGGCAAGCGGTGCGGCCTGGCCATCAGAAAAGGACCCGGGAGCAGGAACTGCCCCTGCTGCTTACCACCTCTGAACAGGCTCTCGCTGCTTCCTCCCATTGGGCTCCCTTTCTCTCGGCACGTTGGCGGCTGCCAGCCGGGATGGCAATGACAGAGCCCTTTGTTATTGCAAACCTGCCATTCAGCAAGAAGAAGGAAACACACGCCCGTTAGCTACCAGGCATCACCACCAGCTTCACACGTATGCCAAATGCCTTGGCAGACACATCGCAGCAGGCAGCACAAGGCAAAGGTTTCGCATGCACAACTCACCTGAGGCTCCCAGGCGCACACATATAGACCTCTTTATAGACAGGGCCGTCAGCGACTCAGTCCCACGGTCGCTCCCCATGACCGAAACACACGCCCGTTAGCTACCAGGCATCACCACCAGCTTCACACGTATGCCAAATGCCTTGGCAGACACATCGCAGCAGGCAGCACAAGGCAAAGGTTTCGCATGCACAACTCACCTGAGGCTCCCAGGCGCACACATATAGACCTCTTTATAGACAGGGCCGTCAGCGACTCAGTCCCACGGTCGCTCCCCATGACCGGGGCAGGGAGCAACTCAAAACACCCAGCTGCTAGGACCAGGCTGATTACACACCGTCAGGGTCCTGCACAACTGTGCTCTCTCCGGGGGGG